CATTAGTAGTTGAGGGTGGGCTGCTGATCTCAGAGGAGGGTGCAGGATCAATAGGAGTTGGCATAATAGTAGTTGTAACTGATGGAGAATCTACAGTGTAATTTGTAAGTGATAGCTTTATATGGAATTATTGATAGTATACCTTGACAGTTTTGAAGGCACAACTGCATGGGGAACATACCAAATCCTAAACTATCAAGTGATGGAATTGAGCTGACTGCTCCTGTTCCATTGAATAAATAGATAACATATTTACACGTGTTAAGATCAAGGTCTTGATTCTTATCAGGACTGATTATTGGACGAGTGAAGTTAACTGTGAGGAAGCCACCGCTTAATGAAGCACTTGTATATTGAAGATTTTGTTCTGTGTCTAACATATTACTGGCTACATTTGGAACCCATCTACAGAAATAATAGAAAAAATTTCAACTAGCTACATCTAATCTGGTTCATTGCTACCATTATGGGTTAGTTTAAGCTATATTAGTGATTGATCTAATCAAGTCAAACCACTGTGTACTTCAACTGAATAGCCACAATAGTAAACAAATGGGAATTTGTCATATAATTCTGGGTAATGCCAAATAGATCAACATTAATGCCAAACATTTTACATTAATTAAAATTAAGAAGGTAATGAAAGATTTGCTCAATGTAGCATAAAACTGATCTAACGAACCATAAAGTTATTTAGGAGGATAATTACTTTACCTGTCTTGTACAAAAGAAACTGCTCCATTATCTCCAGCATATACAGCATCAACATTAGCCTATTGATAAATAATGTAATTGTTACTTATTCTAAAACTCACCAAACTTAATACAGAGGTTACGAGTTGGTTAGAGAAAGCCAAAGCAGTATATTGAGTTTCAGTAGAAGGAGCAGTGTATATAAAGTTGACAGTGTTGCTATCAATCACAGTCCACTCAAGGGTAACTTGCTGTGTCTCATTAGTAAAGTTTCCTGAACACTGAGCTAGAGAAATAGTAAAGAGACCAGCTAGAAGAAAGAGCTTTAGTAGTCCTTGCATTTTGGTTGTGAATCCGTCTTCTGCCCACAATATAGATCTATGCCACAATCTACAATCCCACCCACCAGTCTAAATTAAATAATTAATTTATATCTACAACAACTGCATAAACATTACTATCAGTTCTCAAAACAAAGTTCAAGGATTGAAAACAATTTAAATGTTCAGTCTACATTGTATTAAACATAAAGAACTATGACAACAGCAATCATGATAAGCAAAACTGAAGCAAACATTCCTGCACTAGCTCCACTGGGAGTACTAGTGGGAGTAGCAGTAGGAGTAGCACTCACACCACTGGATCCGCTGCTAAATGAGGGGGAACTTTGAACAGATGTTGTACTAATTGTCACAGCACCAGTTGA